AATCGCAGAAAGTCGAAACAAAGTGAAAACATTAGTAAAAAAAACTTCGCTTTGGGGGGGAAATATTTCTGACCGAACTTTTAAGGTCATTCCCCAGTGTTGCACTGCGGATCCCTACTGCGCATAATTTCACGCGTGATTAGCGCGAGCGCATTAAAAAATGGCGGCTTTTTCTTTACAGCTGAACCTCGCCATAGAGTTAAATCGTCGTTTTCTTGCAAACGAGTATGGTGACATATAATTTTTTTCTGTTGTTTTCAATTGAGCAATAAATTTCTCTGTGTAAAGTAAATATGGACAAATTCTCAGTGTAGAACAAAAAGCAATCGTCGGAAACGTGAATTTAGCAAGCAATGGTAACTACAATCATGGTGCTATTATAAGGATTTATATGGGTATAAACAAGGTGCTTTTGCTCCTAAACGAACATGGGGACCCCTCATTTTTATTTCAAAATTTAAGTTCCTATAATATAAACAATCAATATGCAAAGTTTCACAAAAATCTCAGTGCAGGTTCTATTTCAGCGGAATGACCTTAATTGGAATTCGCGAGACCTATTGCACTCCGATTTGTTTGTAGATACCAATTTTAACTAAACATGATATATTGACAAAAGTACAAAAGACTATGGGAAACATGTTAACTTCGGAAATAAACGGCCGCCCTTTTGTAAAACAACCAACTCTGTGAGGCATAGTAAATTCCACGGCCGGGAATGAAACCGTGACTCGCAAACAAAATAGACAAGGAAACTTCAAGATTTCTTTACCAAATTTAACTTGCATTGCCGGTCCTGAAATGACTCTGAAATAACTTTTTGCAAACGAACTTGATAGGTTACAGAAAAGGCAACTGTTTTAAGCTTTAATTCAGTGAATATCTCCTTCAGCGACTAGTTATCTTAAATTAATTATTGGAAGGCCGCGTAGCAAAAAGTTTTTTGACTTCCTGTTTCGACTTGGTGTGAAATCGACATCTCGTCACAAATGTGTGTCATTCGAAGCGCTAAAACGTACTCGGATTAAATACAGTTACTTTGGCGTTGAGTTTGTACTGTTTTACCGTTATATTACAATTGCAAGCAAACAATTTGTTTATTAGTACAAAGAGCTCATAATATAAGGACTTAAATGTCTGTATCCGCTTGCCTTCAGACCAACACGCAGAGGTCCATTGTTTACTTTTCGTGATGTTTTAGGTAAAATCGGGATTTTTCAGCCGGGCCTCAAAAAGCACTCGAAGAATAACCCAAGCTGATTTTAATACATGTTTTACAACAACATTAAAGTGTTCCAAAGGCGAAGTTTCAAGGAATTTGGAGTTATGGCACATGTCGAAAAATATCTCTGAATTTTATTCGTAAATTAGGAATTCGACCTAGAAACTGAAAG